GACTGGGGTAATCGGGATGGGTGTGTCAGAGGCGGTGCGGTTGGCGCAGGATAGAGCAGGGTTTAGGGCTGTTGTGCATAGGGTCGCTATGAGTCGGAAATGACTCGACGGCACATAACAACAACAGCAGTGTCTGCTTTGTACAGGAGTTGGGTCTGTCTATGAGGCCTTTGAATGGGTTCTGATGCCTGTCTTTTAACTTTCAACTAGTGGTCTAGGGCTTAAACCATTTATGATACTCCAGCAGTACCTAGCACACACAAGAAACTCCTTACTTCAAATTTGGTATGTCTTAAACTGATGTCACTGTTTGATTGCTTTTCGTAAATGACCAGATCTTCATACATATTTCAGTTTTGCAGACCACTTACAATCTCTTGTCATCTTTATCATCATTTAAAACCAATGTTTTAAATTATAAAAATTGTCTGTCATGGAAACACACTGGCTCCTCTTTAAGTTTCTTTTCCATGTATACTTTCTATTTTTCAAAATAGGTTTGAGGAGACTTCTTGAAGGTTGCACATTGTACTCTCATGTTACTAAAAGTGAAAAAACTAAATCTCCAAGTAATGGCTCCTGCTGCTATCTTTGTCCAGTGTAAATCTGCCTAATAAGTGTGAAAATTGGTGCAGTAGAGCTTCCCTGGAATCATCTCTGCCTCCCCAGGCAACTGCTCTCTCCTCCCCCATCACTGTGTGTATGAAGTTACCTTGTCCAGGCCCCACTTCTCCTTTTCTATGGCTATTTTTCTGTTCTTGCTCTCTCCAGAGAACATTTTTCTCCCCAGCCTTTTGAAAGCTTTTGAGACATGCAATTGATATGCTAATATAGTATTCTTTATCACTGAGTTCTGGGAGATTTCAGTCTTTTTATGACTATTTGTCCATATGAATATTTTATTAGTAAGAAATTGTTTTTATTTTCCTATCAAAATTATCAGTAACCTTACAGATTCCGTTCCTTAATTCATTAAAAGAATTCTGCAGAATTTGTAATACTGGACTAATGACTATCTACAGCTATTGTTCCACTTGGCATCAGTTTGATCTCACTGAATTTAGGGTTAGATTTTGAATGAAACTCAAGAATTTTTATTAATGTCACTTTTGAGAAATAGATTTAAATTTTTTTAAAAAGACATTTCAGTCTGAACCAGTGATTTGTGATATTGCTGGCATAAATCTCCTGATGACGAGCAAAAGTCCATTTAGTTCTTTAATCTTGGTTGCGAGTTTTTGCTTCTCTTATGAGGGTATGATAAATGACCTTGCTGTAGAGTTAAGAAAAATGGATTTTTTTTTAACAAGTAACACATCTTTCCTAGATCCTTTATAAAGTTTTTTGTGAGAAATTTTAATTATCCTTTGCAATATGTGTTATGGATTTTAATTTTATATGTGCCCTGATTTATTACTGAAGCAAATATGAAATTCATTTTTTCCATCATATTTTTTTACTTTCTAGATGGCGATCTTATAACAATTTTTGATAGTTCTGACCTTTCGTTTGCAATTCAGTGCAGTAGGATATTGAAACTGACATTATTTGGTAAGTGGTAAACTTTCTAATTATTTTACTCATTGTGTTTTTATCAAAGATTTTTTTTTAAATTTCTCTTTAATAAATACAATTAAGTAACATTTAAAAGAGTATATAAGAGCTAATTTTAAACTACTTAAAGTCGGCTTTATGTTTTTTAAGAAAATGGTCAAAGTTGTAGATACAGTGTGGATAATTTTGCTTTAAGTTGGCTACATCAGAGTTGACAGTTAGCTAAAGCTTAACTATGTCCATTTCTTTTGGGTGATATAGAAAGTAAGCATATTTTAAATTTCACACCTGACTACTACTGTTTAGCAACCCTGAATAATAATAATACGTGTCACTTACATAAGGTGTTTTAGGGTTAACATTATTAAGCTAAGTTTCCAAGAATTTATAATTACCTTTGTCCTATAATATACTACATTTTCATTTATTCTCAGGATTAACTGATTTTATAGGCCTGTTACTTATATATTATCTTTTAAGGAATAAAATATTAGAGTTAGCTCTATTTAAAAAGAAATATAATACTCAGTCCTTTAGATTTTATTTAAGTTTGACAAGTTTTCCAGACACATGCCTTAAGGGACAAAACAGTTGAGAATTATTACACAGTTGAAGTGGTAGTATGATTATGTAAAAAATAAACTGTGGACTTTTTTAAAAAAAATAATTTTATATTGATTTGTTTACGAAGTCTGAATACATTTGGTTTCACACTATTCTTCACTTCATATTCTATTACATAGAATCATTCCCATTCATTACATTTTATAAAATTAATCACTACTGGCCTCTGCCCACCATTGCTTATCTTTCTAGATCTCTACTGGATCTTTTCCATTTCCTTTATTCTTCCCTCCTTCCGCCCATCAAATTGTGTGACCCGTGATTCTTCCCTGTCCATCCTCAAGCCTCTGCTCCTGTCCTTCCCCCTTGGATCCTCGTACATGTTTTACTAGTTATTTATTTCTACAATAATGGTCTTATGCAGTATTTGCCCTTATGAGACTGAGGTAGTTAGCTCAGCATAATGCTCTCTAGTCCTTCCCAAGTTATGAAATAATTTTTGAAATTGTTGCTGAGTGTTGCATCATAACAATAATAATAAGAATAAGAAGAAGTAGTGTGAATGTACCATAATTTTTCAATCCATTTGATTGTGGTTGGATATTTGGGCTGCTTCTGTGTTCTCAGGATGGTGAGTAGTGCTGCTGTGAACATTGGTGTACAAATTTCTGTTTGTTTCTCAGTTCTGATTTTCTCAGGGTATATTCCTAACAGTGGAATAGCTGCGCCTTATGGAATTTCTTTTTTTCAACTTTCTGAGGAAATGTCACACTGCCTTTCAGAGTGGTTGTACCATTTTACAGTCCTACCATCTGTGTATGAGAGCTCCTGACTCTTTGCATCCTCTGCAACCTATATTGCTTGTTGTCCTATTAAACTTTGCTACTGCTACTTGGGTGAGAATGGTATCTTATTGTGGTTTTGATATGCATCTCTTACTTACAGTGATTTTGAGCATTTCTTCATGTATCTGTTGGCCATGTGTGAATTTTTTTTTCCTAATTAGATTTTTTTTAACTATACTATGGTACACTGAAACAAAGCTTTCCATGAGTAGCCCTCTTTATGATCTGTTTATTTCATATTTTGTTAAAAAGTATAAATATGACTTAGGTTTCAAAATTTTAATAGTTTTATAGTTGTTTTAAAGAAAAGATATTTTTGTACATTTGTTATTATTAGGTTCCATTGAGTCAAGTGCAACGCGTAGTGACCCTGTGAGTAGCAAACATGAACCCTGCCCTATCCAGTGCCATCCACATCATGTCTGAGACACTGGAGCCCGTTGCAGAGGTTACGATGTCAGTCCTTCTCATTGGGGGTCTTTTCCTTCTCTAACTCTCCATCTTTCCAAGCATTAATACGCCTTTCTGCCTAGCACAATAGTGAACCTAAAATACATACTATTTAATTGACTTAATTAGTCGTCTATAAGATAGATAAATGTGAAAATCCTTCTCAAAAAGTAAGAACATGCCGTTGTAGATAACTTATTACAGATACATTTTTTAATGAAGTACTTTAGAAAAAAATTTCCGCTGATGGAAAAGTCAAGGAAAATTGATTATCACCACCTGTACTATGAGTTTTTTAGGAAATATTTTTGAGGGTTTAAACTATTGTCCTTAAATGGGGTGGATTTAAATTTAAACCCTCTGCATAATTTGAGATCTTCCAAACCTAGATTATACCATGATAATATAGCAGAAGCAAATTCATATGTCTCTTTAAAGGTTATATTCTCAGTCCAGATCACATAGCTTCTCAAAATTCTGTTGAAATTATAATTCAGAACTGTAAGATACATTAAAAAATTAATGAAGAAAAGTGGACAGAACAGTTAGTAGAAACAACAATTCTAAAAACCGTGAAAAGTATACAAAGCAGTGTGATGAACACATTTACAAAGAATATAAAGTAACTTTAAGAAATGAAATACTTAGTGGCTTAATTAAGCATCCAGTTATACTAGTTGAAATTAGTTGCTATCAAGCCAATTAGTCACAGCTAAAGATTCTGAACTAGTGAACTGAAAGGTGATCCAGAGAAATTCGAGCAGAATGCATGAAAACAGAAATGAATGTTAAAAAAAAAGTTGAGAAAAAGTGAAGCATATTTCCACAAAGTTTAAAGATGGAGAGATTAGGAGACGAGGAATATTTAAAGAAGTCATGATTGAAGATTTTTTCAGAATTATATAATGATAAAGACAAAATTGTCCGAAGCTAGAGATTACATCAGGAAAGGAGTGCATTGGGGATACTTCCTGTCTCCTTACCTTTTCAATTTATATGTGCAACAGATCATTTGGGAGGCTGGGCTTGATGAAGAAGAATGTGGCATCAGGATTGGAGAAAGACTTATCAACAACCTATGCTACACAGATGACACTGAAGAGGACCTGAAGGGCTTGCAAGGACTATAGTCTTCAATATGAAGAAAACAAAGCAACACCATGATAAATAGAGAAGAGATAGTGGTTGTTAACAATTTCCGATCACTTGGTTCCACAATCAACACTTGCACCAGGAAATCAAAAGACAAATTGGACTGCGAAAATCTGCTGTTGGGGACCTCTCCAGAGTGCTAAAGAGCAATAATGTCAGGATAGAGACTAAGGTGCACCTAATCTAGGCCATTATCTTTGCAATTACTTTCTATGCATCAGAGAGCTAGACAGTGACAAAGGATGACAGAAGTATTGATGCCTTTGAGTTGTGGTGCTGGAGAAGAGTCTTGAAAATACCATGGACCACCGAGAGAACAGACAAGCTTGTCTTGGAGAGGGTGAAACCAAGTCTCTCCTTGGAGGGTAGGACTTTGAAGCTTCATCACACATACTTTGTGCATGTGGCCAGGAGGGACCAGTCCTTTGAGAAGGACGTCAAGCTTGGAAGAGTAGAGGGACAGCACAGGAGAGGTAGATCCTGGATGAAAAAGGGTTGACACAGTGAGGCAATGGGGGTAGGTGTGTCAGAGTCAGTGAGACTGGCTCGGGATAGGGCAATTTATAGGGTCTCTATTATTAGGAGGTGACTTGACAGCACATAACAGCAAATAACAGAGAATACATAAAACAGATAATATTAAAAGTAAATTAAGAGTGACCATTCATAAAGCAGTTGTGTTAGGCAGCTTAACTTCCTCAAACTATTAAGAAAAATAACTGGAAACTTACCCTTCAGTAGTCTCTAAAACTAGTGTTCAAAATGAAGAGACATAAAAACATTTTCAAAGAAAGACTTAGCATATACTGTTCATAAATCCCTTTTTTAAAAGAAATTTTAAAGATGACTCTTCAGTCAAGTGTACATTACGTGTGAAAAGAAAGTGAAAGATGAAAGAAGCAATTGTGAGCCAGATACACTGGTTAATTTATAAGTGAAAATGTCAGTTGGCTTTATAAAATGTTGTGCCATCAAGTCGCCTGCAACTCATAGAGACCCTGTGTACAATAGCTTTGAACCCTGCCTATCCTAAGCCAGTCTCCTTGACTGTATCAAGAATATGTTTTTATGGTTAGGTGCTGTCGAGCATGATTCATAGTGACCCTGTGAACAAAAGATCTATTCTGTACTGCACCATCTTCACACTTCCTAACACACAGAGCCCATCGCCAGCAGTCACTGTGTCAGTCCACCTAGTTGAGGATATTCCTCTCCTTTGCTGACTCTCACACTTCCCAACATCAAGTCCTTCTTAAAGGAATAGCACCTCCTAGCAACATGTCCAAAATATGTGAGTGTTGACATACTAGGCATAGTTGCTTTTGTTGTTGTGTACCTTAGAGTTGGAACTGACCCATAACTGACCCTCCAGTGGCTTTTCAGAGGCAGTTAATGGTACAGGAGGAGATTGCCCATCCTTCTCCTGATGAGCAGCCGATGGCCTTGAACCTTGTGCCTTTACAGTTCCTTGCCACTAGACTACCAGAGCACCCATAACATGTCGAAAGTATGTGAAGTGAAGCCTCATCATCCTTGCCTCCGAAGAACACTCTGGCTGAACCCTCTCCAAGACATAGCTATTCATACTCTTGGCCAGCCATTGGCTATTCAGTTCTCTTCCCCAACACCACAGCTCAAAGTTGTCAATACTTTTTCTATCATCCTATCTCATTGTCCAGGTTTCAGATCCATAGAAAGGGATCAGAAAAATTATGGCCTAAATCAGACAAACCTTAGTCCTCAAACTGACATCATAACTCAATAATTTGGGGAGATCTTTAACTGCAGATTTTCCCAGTGCAGTAAGTCTCCTTATTTCCTGACTGCTGGTACCATGGGTGTTAATTGTGGATCTAAGCAAGATAAAGCTGTTGACAGTTTCAGTCTCCTCTCCATCAATCATGATGTTGCCTGTTGGTCCAGTGGTAAGAATCTTTGTTTTCCTGACATTGGGATGCAATCCATACTGAAGGCTGCATTCCTTGTCTTCTGCAACAAGTGCTTCACGTCCTCTTCATTTTCAGCAAGCAAGGTTATGTCATCTGTATAATGCATGTTACTGATGAGTCAGTCTCTCCCTTCAGTCCAGATCCCACATTCCTCCTCCAGCTTCTCGGATAATTTGCTCAGCATACAGATTGAATTAGTATGGAGAGAGAATACGACCCTGGTGCACTCCCTTCCCAATTCCATACCGTGCAGTGCTTCCCTGCTCTGTTCGCACAACAGCCTCCTGGTCCAGGTATAGGTTCTGCATGACCACAATTAAGTGCTCTTTGATTCACATTCTTCTCAATGTCAGCCACATCTTGTTAGGAACCATACAGTCATATGCCTTTGCATAATCAATAAAGCACAAATAGACATTCTTCTGGGATTCATAGCAAAAATACTGAACAGTTATGTGTTAAGCCAAGAACAGGTAATTATTGTTGAGTATTGTTGAGTCACTTCTAACTCATCACAACCTAATATATGATAGCCAGGAAACACTGCTAGGACCTAACAGTCATTGTTGAAACCACAGTGTCAGTACATTTGTTAAAGTCCTCTCCTTTTTCACTGACCCTTTCTTGTAATAAGCAGAATGTCCTGCTCAATAGATGGGTCCTCCTTGATAATATGTCCAGAGAAAGAGAGAGAGGAGCAGAACATTTTAAAGCGCAGTTTGAGAAGACAGAGCAAAGTATTATAATGGAATATGCAAAGAGCTGGAATTGGAGAGTAGAAGTCTAAGAAGATACCTAGGAACCTTTATTATCTTCTTAATTATTGGGGCAAAGATGAAAAGTGATTGATGATAGGTGACACATGAATTTTAAAAATGTTTTATCATCTTGTGCTTGACAAGTTTCATTAAAATTGCATTTATACAATTGATATGGCTTAATTGTGGAGTGGAGTATAGCATTTAAATTTCAGAGTATTTGGAACATAGTACCCCTAAAATCACAAGTAGCTATCAGTAGATAGAAGGCTTCTTAAAGTCAGTGTGCTCTGAATAGAGATGAACAGGAACATACCTGCAATCCCACTAACTTGGATTTAATTGATTGCAATCAGAAAGAACAGCAACATGGAGAATAGAGGAGCATCTCAGAAGCTGCTAGAACAGTGTCTGGGTTTATGCTGGGTGATTTTGGAAAAAGGTTACAAAACAGGGCTTTGAATGCTATCAGGGTAGGGTAAGTTGATTCTGAGTTTGGATATCTTGTGAAATTTTATCTTTCAGAGAGAAGTGAAATTAGCCTCATACTGTAATTTAATTGATAAATTAGTAGTGATAATATTGGCAAACCTTGAGGGATGTATGGTTTGATGTTACTATTTGTTGTCTAAGTTCTAGCATGCATATGGAATGGTCTTGTGTTTGTCTAGGTCCATTTTGTCATGCACTGATCTTTCTGATGTTGGTATTTTTAAAATATGTGATGAAAAAAACACAGCAGCCTAGCTGTGATTGCCAGGCCAGTTTGTAGGGTAGACCACTTAAGGTGCATCCAGCAGTACCAGCCCAGTTCCTGCTTTTCAAGATCTTTCTTGTATATTAAAACCAATACTTTAACGTAGGTAGGTTATTATGTTCAACTTTCTTACAACAAAAAAGAAAGTATGTAAAATACTGATGGATTATCTCTTAAAAGTAGTTAACGTATATTGGTGTTTGACAATTAAAGCACATTTAACAATCAAATATCCAGCCCAAACCTTTATTTTTAAATAGATGCCCTTCACTATTTGGTACCTCAGGAGTTTGTGTTTATGTATAAAGGCAGTACATAGAGTTCTTCAGTTTTGAATTCTTGTCTTGAAGTTGGCATTCAGAGCCTTTAAAAAAATTTGTTGCTGGGGATATACTTAATCTTCTCTTTTTTTCAGTCAGCTAAAAATCATTGGACAAAATAGGGAATAAAATGAGGTAACATTGACTTAAGTTTAAAACTGTTTATTGGAAAAAAACAAAACAAACAAAAAACCAAAAAACTGTTTATTGGATAATCCCTGCCCTTTTTTTGTGGCTTCTTATACTGCCTTTAAAAGTAACCACTGAAGGGTTTGTGAGGATTCATAGGTTCTGGTTGTATTTTTTTTTATATATAAAATACTTTTTGTTCACTTTATTTAAGTCAAAAGTAGGCAAAAGAGATAATCCATCAGGTCTTTGTTGTATCTTTATGTGTCTCACCACTGGGCCAGTAGTACCATGACAGATGAAGAAGAGATTGAGGTCGTTAATAATTTCGGTTTACTTGGCTCCACAATCATCACCCTTGGCACCAGCAGTCAGGAAATCAAAAGACAAATTGCACTGGGGAAATCTGCTGTCAAGGACCTCTCTAGAGTACTGAGAAGCAACGATGGCAGTCTAAGATACTAAGGTGCGCCTGATCCAGGTCATAGTCTTCGAATTACTTGCTGTGCATCAGAGAGCTGGACAGTGACTAAGGGTGACAGAAGATGAATTGATGCCTTTGATTTGTTGTGCTGGAGAATAGTCTTGAACATACCTTGGATAACCAAGAGAACAAATAAGTCTGCTTTGGAGAGAGTGAAACCAAGTTTCTTCTCAGGGTAGGATTTTGAAGCTCCATCTTACATACTTTGGGCATATGGCCAGAAGACACCAGTCCTTGGAGAAAGATATCATGTTTGCAGGGGTGGAAGGACAGTTTAGTAGAGGAAGACCCTGGATGAGATGGATTGATACAGTAACTGAAGCAATGAGAGTAGGTGTGTCAGAGTGGGAGACTGGCTCAAGACAGGGCAAGCTTCAGAGCTGTTGTACATAGGGCACCTATTAATCATAGGTGACTAGATGGCACATAACAACAAAATGCTTATTTTAATATTGAAGTGTGTAAAAATGAGGTCGTTGAGGGTATATAATTCTAGTAGTTGTTGTTTGTACCATACAGTTGGAACCGAACCGTAGCTGACCCTCTGGAAGGTTTTCAGAAGCATTTTATCACATGGGAGGAGATTGTTCATACTTCTCTCACAGAGCAGCTGGTGAGATTTGAACCTTGTTCCTTCGGAATTGCCATGTAACTTCTTGCCATTAGGCCACCAGAGTTCCCTATAATAATTATTACAAATGAATTTAAAATGAAATTTTGAAGGAAAACGTTTTAGGCTTGAATTTATTTTATTGTAGGTGAATTCTTAGCAACTTTGTATGCTTTTGTTATCTGCCATCAGTACTTAGGAATGTTTCTTTTTTTCTAGAATTAAGTCATTAGCAATAGACAGTCCTTAAAGTTAACACTTAAATGACATCAGTAAGTATCTTTTTTATTTTCTTAAAATTTTCAAAGGAAATATACTTTCCTTATTATGTATTGTTCTGCTAATAAACTTTTTCAAAGATATTTTTTTGTTTTAACCAATTTAATGCTTTTATTCCAGTTAATGGCCAGCCGAGACCCCTTGAATCAAGTCAAGTGAAATATCTCCGTCGAGAACTGATAGAACTTAGAAATAAAGTGAATCGCTTATTGGATAGCTTGGAACCACCAGGAGAACCAGGACCAGCCACCAGTATTCCTGAAAATGGTAAACTATGGGTCAATTTTACTCAGATTTCTTAGTCTCCTCTTCTATATCCTTGTCCTTTTTGGGGGTGGGATGAGAAGTGGTGCCTGTGTGTTTTTAACCTTCTCCGGTGGAAGAGTTCAAGAATAAGAGTTTATTCTTGACTACGGTAGTGTTCATATTTGTATTCCTAACCCTGACTATTTATACAAATTATGAGAACACAAGGAAGATTCCTGGATCAAATCATATACCTGGGAGTCAGTCTTATTTGTACAGTGCTGCCAGGGTGGTTCTTTGACAATTAGACTACTAAGTTATTTTTCAGACCTGTTAACTTTTCAGATACGCTGTGAACCTCTTTAAGAATTTAATATATTTTCATGAGTTTTTTGTGCTACAGAAAGTAGTTTCAAGTTAAAAATATTAGGAAAGTAAATTAAAATGATAATTATTACACAGTAGTTTTTTTTTGTTTGTTTGTTTGGACAGTCTTATAGTCATTGTGTCCTTCTCATTTATTTAATTAGTTCAATAATATATTTGTGCATTTTTTAGGGTTGGCTGTTTACTTTTATTTCTGGATTTTAACATCATGTGAGATAATTTTAACATTTTGCTTCTGTAAAAGTTCCTGGGCTGCTTAAACTCATAGGACTATCATGAAGTGATAATCTTCTGAAGAAAAAGAAAGAAATAATAAAAACATACCAAAAGTTAACTTTTATTCATAAAAGAAATCCACTAGTCAGTGTCAGAACCATTTGGTTTATATAGAACTATTATCTCTTCATTGTTCTGCCTTGCAGTGGTTTTTAAACCTTTTTTTCTTCCAGTGAACAAATGATATGTAGCTGCATGAATGAATTCCTTTGCAGTGATTAGTGTAAAGTTAGGCATTTGGTTGTGTGGATCATAACAAAATTGACGCTAACACTGAGAAGAATGGGAATTCCAGAGCACAATTTTAAATATGAGCACAGTTAAGTGTTTGGAATTCCCATTCTTCTGAATTTTAGCCATAGACTGTTGTGATCCACAACAGTTATGTTCATGGGAAAACAATACGTAGACCAAAACGTGTATTATCCTTTGACAAAATAAAATATTAATTTCTATATGTACTGTTTTCTAAGTGTATACTTAAGTCATGTGCTGTAAAAAAATAGTAAATAGTTTTTTATTCTACAGGGCTTGCATTTTTTTTTAATTAGGTAGAGAGTTAAATAGAATTTATTTAAAAAAAGGTTTATCTTTTACTTTCTGATTTTTAAGAGTAAAAAAATAAACAAGTATAAACAGGAAATGAAAATTAATAACCCCTTATTCAGAGGGATCCGTTAACTCAGTAGGCTGAATTTATGCATGTATTTCATTTTTAGCCTTCACTATCTGTATAATAAGTGAAATGAAACCAAGATTTTTTAAATTTTTCTATCCTGTTTTCTTAAAGATACTGTGGATGGTAGGGAGGAAAAACCTTCTGCATCTGATTCTTCTGGAAAGCAGTCTACTCAAGTTATGGCAGCAAGTATGTCAGCTTTTGATCCCTTAAAAAACCAAGATGAAATCAATAAAAATGTCATGTCAGCATTTGGCTTAACAGATGATCAAGTTTCAGGTAAGCCAGCATATTTGTTAGTTTACTTCACTTTTTTATTGTTCTCTCCCATCCCTTCACTTCTGTTTCCTTCTTATTTTGGAAGAACAATTTCAATGTGGTGAAGTTTAAAAGAGCTAAATTGTTTAATTAAATAATTCTTTTACATATGTACATTCCTGTGAAAGCACTAGCTAGATCTAGATATAGATAGATTGTAGCACCTGAGGTTTTCTTGTGCCTTTTACCAGTATGTAGCACCCACCCCTTGAAAAGATATGCTCAAGCATATTTTATGAAAAGTGAAATCTCTACTCTTTCTTTATTGTGTTCTAGTTGTTACTCATAATGAACCTTTGAAAAATAGATCTAAACTGTGTCTTGTCTTGTGTCATCCGTTTCATCTGTGACATGCTTGAGCCCATTGCTGCAGTCACTGTATCGGTCCTTCTGGTTGAAGGTCTTATTCTCTTTCACTGGCACTCACCTTTTTAAGCATGATATCCCTTTCCAAAGAATAGCCTCTTTTAGCAACATGACAAAGTTTCACCATCCTTACCTCTACAGAACTCTCTGGCTGCACTTAATTCCATGACATACCTGTTTGGTCATTTTAGCAACCCAGGGGCTGTTCAGTACTCTTCAACATCATAGCATAAAGGTAGCAATTTTTCTGTTACCCTTCTTCATTGTCCAGCTCTCAAATGCATAGCAAGTCATTAAAAGGACCATGGCCTAAGTTAGGTGCACCTTAGTGTTCAAGCTGGCATCATTGCTCCTCAGTAATTTGGAGAGGTCCTTTACAGCAGATTTGCTCCATACAGTATCTCCTGTTCTTCTGACTGCTGGTATGAAGGATGTTGATTATGTATCCAAGTAATATGAAATTGATGACAATTTCAGTCTTTTCTCTACCTATTGTTAATATTGCCCATTGGTCCAGTAGTGAAGATTTGTGTCTTCTTGATGTTGAAATGCAGTTTATATTGAAAGTTGTCATCTTGGATTCTCTGCAGTATTAGTTTCAAGTTCTCCTCACTTGCAGTAAGCAAGATGTGTCATCTACTTAGTGCAGGTTGTTGACGAATTTTCCTCTGATCCACATACCACATTCCTCTTCATAGAGTCCAGGTTCTTGAATTTATTTTGCTCAGCATACAGATTAAGTAACTATGGAGAAAGAATATCCACTGACTTAAACTTTTCCTGATTTTAATCTATATGGTATTCCCTTGCTCTATTCAGACAGCAGTTTCTTGTTCTAGGCATAGTTTAAATATGAGCACAATTAAGTGTTCTGGAATTCCCATTCTTCTCAGTGTTAGCCATCGATTGTTGTGATCCACACAGTCAAATGCCCTAGAATGATCAATAACATATAAATTGACATTCTTTTGATACTCTTCCATCTAGGATCCATCTGATATCAGTGGTGCCATGGCCTCTGCTAAAGCCAGCTTGAACTTTTGGCAATTCTCTGCCAGTGTTACTATTCTAATTATTTTTGGATGATCTTCAGCAGTATTTTGCTTGCATGTGGTATTAATGATATTGTTGGGTAATTTACACATTTTGTTGAACCATCTTTCTTGGAAATGGGAACAAATATGCATCTCTTTCAGTCATTTGGCCAGGCATCTATCCTCTAAATTTCCTGGCATTGACTGGTGAGCACATCCAGTTGCACATCTGTTACTTGAAACGTGTCAGTTGGTATTACTTTGATTCTTGGGACCTTATTTTTTGCCAATGCCTTCAGCACAGCTTTATCTTCTTCTTTCATTACCATTGGCTTTGTATCATATGGTATTTCCTGAAATTTTTCAGTGTCAACCAGTTTTTGGATTTTTTGTACAGTGACTGTATCTTCTTTGGTGCTTCCTTTACTATGCTGTAATTTTATTTTAGATTTGTTGCAGAATTTAAATTATACTTAAAATTTCTTTAATCAGATATATGTTGTTGTTGTTGTTGTTATATGCCGTCGAGTCACCTGCGACTCATAGCGACCCTATGTACAACAGCCCTAAACTCCGCTCTGTCCTGTGCCAATCGCACTGTCTCTGACACTCCCATCCCAATTATCCCAGTCACTGAATCAATCCACCTCATAGAGGGCCTTCCTCTCCTGCGCTGTCCCTCCACCGTCCCAAGCTTGATGTCCCTCTCTAAGGACCTGTCTCTCCTCACAACATGTCCAAAGTAAGTTAGACGGAACCTCAGAATCCTTGCCTCCAAGGAGCCACCTGGTTTTTTCTGAAAAAATTTAGTAAAATTTAAGTTGATTCTGGTTAAATAATTTTATTGTAGAAAGTACTTTTACAAGAAGTAGTTTTTAATCTTAAAATTAGACCTACACTATTATGTCTTCTTTTTCTATTTTGGTCATCATTTTAAAACAATTTTTTTCCTGCTTTATTCTCTTTGGAATTCCAGTTGGAGAGCTTTTCATCACTCAGTGGTTCTCTGAAATCTGTTCATTTTCTTAAATCTTATTACCCCCCCCCCCATCTATTACACTCTGAGCTTTAGAAATCACTGGGTGGTTTTTCTTTTTAAAATAGTTCTCTTGCAGTTCTTTAACTTCATATTCATCAAGACGATAGTTTCCTTTAATTCTATGAATGTTTTTGGTTTAGGTTTTTGTATTTTCTCATTTTCTTTCTTTTTAAAAGTATAATATCTGCTTTGAAATATTTATCTGCTGTATTTCAGCATCTGTCTGTCCTGTGGCCTATATAGTACAGGTGTATACTCAGCTTTTGCTCTATTGCTCTTTATGCTCTAGTTGCTGCTTTTGGTGCTGAACCCTTGTGTGTATGTGTGTGTCTGTGTCTGTGTGTTCTGCCACATGTTTAGCTTGGGAGTTTGGGCAGAGTAAACCCTGTGATTTTGAGTGTTACTCTGTTGGTGACTCCCTTATGTTAGAGATTTCTCCTTAAATTTCTAGGTGTTTGACAGTTTGTTTTCTGTAATCTTAAGTCAGTAAATTTGGATTCTATTATTGGAACTGCTAGGGTCAGGCCTGTAATTTTTATCCCTTGAAAACTCTTGGGGAAAATTCTGCTCAGATATTGGCTTACATTTGATTGCTTTTCAGTCATTTCACATAGTTGTATCTTCTGGGCTTTAAAAAAAATTTTTTTAATTATCATTTTGTGAGGACTTAAATGACTAATTTTTTTCTGCCATTATTATAGCTGGAAAAACAGGATTAGTTTTCTTTGAAGTTTTTATGAGATTATTCACTAAAGAGAATTTGAAATCTGAAGAGACATTGAATTGTTTAGAATATGTGCTTTGGGGGGGGAAGGCATATCAGATAAACATTTGTAGAGTAACTGAAATATAAGTTTAAATTCTAGCTACTTACTAAGACACCAGAAGATGCCATTTAGAGGAAATCTTTGATGCTAGGTTTAAAAATTTAGATTCTCTTCAAAAGGTATTTTTTTTTTACTTTTCCAGAATTGAAACTTTAATGAATTGTTTTCATTCATTTGTTTGTTAATTATTCCTGAAAAATTATAATGATTATATGTTTAAATTAAAATGCTTGGCCTTGTGAGTCAGACAGAAAGACTCAAAGAAGTCTACTGAAAAGAAGTCATAGTTTAAGGAAAGTTGAAGCCTAAAAATGGGCAAAGTAGATGGAAATAAGACTATCACAAAGTAAACTGCACAAAATCATAAGTAGAAAAATTCTTATAAACAAAGAAGACTTGGTAGAACTATAGAATTTGAACTGATTTTAATTATACTTAGATGTGTATAAATGGTGCAGATATAAGGGACAGTAATAAATTGAAGGCCAAAATAGCACTAGATAAATAGAATAAGGAGGAGCTCAGACTAGCTGTGGGGGAGGGGCATGTGAAGAGTAAGACATGTTTGAGCTCTTGGAGCACACTAGAGGGTTGAATTTACTTTATGGGCAGTAGATACCCATTGATGAATGACATGATGGTGCTTTTAGTTGATACATAAAATGTTGCACAGGGTAGGAGGATGTTAGCATTGCGGGAATGAGGATTGGCTTTTGCAGGAGGAAGTTAGTACTCAGCAATATAAGCACTCCTTTTGTGGCTATATATTCTTAAGAGAGTTGATTAAAGGACAGAATAACATTTAGTTGCTTTTGAGTTGATTATGACTCTTGGTGACCCTGTGCATGTAAGCTACACATGCCCCATAGGATTTTTAAGTCTGACCCTTGGAAGCAAATTGCTAGACTTGTCTTCCAGGTTGCTTCTTGGTTGGTAAAACCAGCCAGTTTTTCCAGCTACTTGTTAAATGCTTAATTGTTTGCATCATACAGGAACTTCTTAAAGTACATACCCTTAAAGTAGAAAGCTGCATTTGTGATGGTGTATAGTCTACACTACTTTTATAGTTTCTGCCTTATTGAACTTAAGAGAAAGTCATTGTATTGGGCATTAAATTAGCATTTTATTACCATCCAGGGCCACCCAGTGCTCCTGCAGAAGACCGTTCAGGAACACCTGACAGCATTGCTTCCTCTTCCTCAGCAGCTCACCCCCCAGGAGTTCAACCACAGCAGCCACCATATACAGGAGCACAGACACAAGCAGGTCAGAGTGAAGGTAAAATAGAGTTTAGAGCACTAAATCTGTAGAAAGGGCATGAGCCAACAGTTACATAGGACTGCATAGTTGGCAATGGTGAATAGCTTATGTATACATTTGTGCTTTGAACAGAAATGTGAAAATTATCTTTTTGGAGTTAAAAAATTAGTAGGCCATGTGAGTATGTTTTCAGTTAATTGAAAAGAAAATAATCTAAAAGGTATCTATACAGGAGTAATGATCAGGAAAAATTTATACCTATCTGTAGTGAACCTTGGGGAAAAGAGTGGAATTGAGAAGGACATCACATTTTATTTTGCATGTGCTCAGGTGTTATTTTATTTCCTGCTCTCACATCTCCCCTGAATCCCTAGTGGCTGTGTTATTTTTATTGTAATTTAAAGATTCTTAAAATAGAAACTTCTTTGTAGCAAAACTATTAAGTGGAATGTTTTAGTTCTTTATTTTTCTGTGTAGTTAGCAAAAAAAAATTATTTTCTTGAAAAAGCAGTGTATTTTAAATGACATTTTTCTTCTCTAAGTAATGTAATCATTATAAATAATTTAGTCTCACTGGGTTTTTATTTTCTCGTACTGTAAATATGCAAGTTAGACTAAACCTTTGATTTCATAAAGTGTCTTTGATCCTGACAGAATGTAACTTGAAAACTCAAGTGTATATATATATTTAAAAGAGTAATTCCTATAGTTAAAGGGTATTGAGGGTCCCAAGCACTGGATAGCAGGACATTGAGGTGCTTCATTTTAATCCTCAGAGCTTTGTAGAGCACAAATGAGGCCTAGTTTCTGATTGCTCCTTATTAAAATATTATTTCTGCAAATTGAGTGTTAGAATTTTAGGATTAAGATTGTACATTTAACTTGAAACCAAACACCAGGTGGTGCTCTAGCTATTGTATGAAGGCTTAAATGTAATATATTTTCAACACTCAGAAACATGTTGAGGCTATTGTTTAAAAAAGAAAAAAAAATTATAGCTTAAAATGAACTGATTACTTTTGGAGCTGGCCTATCATGTTGTGATAATATTTTGAGTCATCTTGTTGAATGAGCTACCTCCATGGTTGGTACAGCCACTCAGAATTAGCACAGGACATTTTGCTAAGGAGTGCATGGTGTGGGAAGACTTTCTGGGTGTTTCCTCTTAACTAATTTGGTCTTATAGTTTCATTTTTGCCAATAATGCAATTTCTAAGGACAGAACAGATTTTAAGGGGGTATTTTAAGTAGGGCTGAAATAAGTGCAAAAAATAGTTTGGATGTGGTAAGAGTTTTCACCATCATATCAGATGAACTAAAACTATGTTAAAACCATTATATTTTACACCATGTGTATTGTTTATATAGAAACAATTGAAAGGGTATTTTCATCCATTATTTGCAGTGGACTTGAAAAGGAATGGAATTTCGGCCCAGTAGTAATATCTCAAGTTTTACTCTCAATGTTTTATTGTAATTGAAAAATCTGTTTTCAGATTTCTAACATTTAGAAATGATGTACAGTGTGCAAAATGTGTGTCATATGTGTCATCCATTAGTAATTTTAGGTTTTTTGTAAGTTTAAATATTATAAAATACACGTCCAAAAACTTACTGCTGTCAAATTGGAACTGATTCATACTTGACCCTTGAGTGGTTTTTCTGAAAATTTAAGCAACATGGTACTAGATGTAACATCTTTCTCGCTCGAAGTAGATGGTGGATTTGAACCAATAGAGAGTTGCTACCTTTCGGTTAACAACACAATTAAAGACTAAGCTAGGAGAGCTCTCTAAAACATATATGTTGTTGTTGTATTCCGTCGAGTCGAAAACGACCCATAGCTGACCCTCTGGTGGATTTTTACGAGGCATGGGAAGAGATTGTTGATCTTTCTCCTTCAGAGCTGCTGGTGAGATTTGAACTGTGTGCCTTTGGGATTGCAACACAGCTTCTTGCCACTAGGCTACCAGAGCTCCTTACAACATATATGTGTGTTCTAAATATGTTCATTTAAAATACATTTGTATAAACATGTTTGTCAGTATATTAATTTAAAATTCAGTGTTTTCTTCTGTGTAAGTATACCATTAGCTCCCCCCCATTAGTAGATTTTGAAGGTGAAATTCCCCATCATTATTACCTAAGATCAATGGAAGTGTCAAGTAATGAAAAGATTTTTAGTAGCCACATTTTTAAAAATAAGAAAGATAAAATTATTATCATTAGCCCACTATTTCTACGTGAAATTATTATTGAGAAGTTAATGGCTTTACTCTTTTTTTAACTTCATAAAAAAATCTAGTTTGTGACACTGATCTGAAAAACTTCAGCATAACACATCATAGTGAAGACCAGCCACATTTCAGATGCTCAGAAACTACATTTGGATGATGACTTGTTTGTTACTTTGGAGTCAGTCTTAACTCATGCCTAATTTATCATTTGAACAACTGTAAAGAAGTACAAATGAGGAAAGATAGCAAACAACAAATTGCTAATTGCAGGAAATAATGCATGATAGCCTAGTGGTAGGAAACTGTGCTGCAATCCCAAAGGCACATGGTTCAAATCCACCAGCTGCTCTGTGGGAGAATGATAGGGAGTCTGCTTCTGTGCAGTTAACTGCCTCTGAAAACTCGCTGCAGGATCACCAATGGGTCAGCTCCATCTTGATGTCATACTATTACACAAATGGAGGTCTAGCGGTAGAGTTGCACTGCTAACTCCAAGGCTGTGCATCTCCAAAGGTTTGAGTCTGCTAGTGGCTCTGACAGAGAGAGATGGGCAGTCTCCTCCCATTGTGATTTTACCCTCTAAAACCTGATGATGTATAGTTGCCTTGAGTCAGAATTGACCTGGCTATCGTAAGTGAGAATAAAGTTTAAAATATTTCTTCTTAGGAAATCTAGTAACTGACCCCAAATGAGGTGTTCTAGTGGCATCTTTCATAGAGTTGCACTGCATCCAAAAAGCCACACCTCTCTGGTTCAAATCACTAGTGGGTTTGAGGACGAAGGATAGGCAGTCGCTTCAGTGCAGTTTCCAACCTCAGAAACCCAATGGAATGTCAACTGTGCATTAAGCCTGACTTAATGGTACTGAGTTTGAGTTTTTTGGGGGGTTTTAGTTTTTTGGTTGTTTTTTTTTTTTTTTTTAAGTAATAAAAATGATACTAATACAAAAGCCAGTTCATCCTCAACAAGAACAAACAACGCAATTGCAAAATGTGCAAAGGACATGGATAACATTTTATCAGAGAAAACCTTCAGATGGTCAATAAAGACATGAAGAAATGCTCAAGATTACTAGCTGTTGTGGTTATGTGTTATGGAGTTGCCTGTGTTTGAGTTTTTAACCCTTAATAGTGCTCCATTTCCAGGAACCTTTTCAGAGTTAAGAAGGTATGCTATTATTTAGGAGTGCAGTTAGGCACTTTTTATGCTTTCTCAGATTCTACCAAGTGGCTAGGAAATTCAGTTGGCATATACACCTTCAAAACCAGTAGTTGTTAACTCCCACATATTATTTTGAGATCTGAAATTAAAGGATCCTGTGAAATTCCTTCCTACAAAAGAGTCCATTCAGATGGTAACAAGTAAAGGTATAAATGGTGAAGATGATAAATAAGATGCTTTGGGAAAGATTTAAAAGATATTAATGGCATTTGTCTAGGTTTTTTACTTTGACATAGAATTATTCTTTGTTTTTGTTGAAAATTAGCTTTGAAAAAGATTTGTTTTATTGGCATTTATGAAGTTGTAACCACTAGGGTAACATCGTATCTTTATGTTTACTAATTTTCATTATCGTTATTCATCACTCTTGAGGGTGTACTTTTAAAACTGCGAAGTTTAACCTGTTCCTTCCCCTGTCTTGTTTTTGCTCCCCCCTGTAATTCCGTTTTTCAGGTCAGATGTACCAGTACCAGCAGCAGGCCGGTTATGGAGCTCAGCAGCCGCAGGCTCCAGCTCAGCCTCCACAGCAGTACGGTGTTCAGTATTCAGGTGAGCACGTGTTTAAAAGGACTAGGGTCAATGATTTGAAACTCTTTTCTTGACTCACTAACTTTTAAACTTTCTCTTAACTCCTTGACTAATGGTACTTTTTCTCCTCAAACTAGTATTAAGTCTTTATTGAGAGAAATAACAACAGCTTTACTTGTACACTTACTGTATGCACTTTTTATTGCATGTCAACATTTCTGTGTTACAGTGAGAAAAATCTATAATAACTGCAGCATAAAACAATTTTAATGCCACACATGCTCGCTCTTTTTACCTTTTAAGTGACTTAAACGCAAAAAATGCAAGACTTCCTTATATGTAACATAAGATTTTCTTACGACATTGAATGTATTTTAGCATTTGTAGAAATATGTTTCTCATACTTGGAAAGATGATCTTATTAAAAGAACTAAATTTTAAGGTTTTTAAGGGCTCAGAGGTTTATAGCATAAGTTAATACCATATAAAGAAATGTATTTGTTATAGCAGAGAGGAAGTTTGTGTTTGACTCTTGTTTTACCACCGAAGATTTAAATACCAAAATAATCAGTTTTAATTAAAAACCATCAATTCAACCTTAAGTATTGTAGAAAAGACCTAGTAATCATCTAATTCAGGGGATTTCAGCTCTCAATATTTCAACCTTCACTGTTGTACTTTGGGAGCTCTGATGGCCTAGTGGTAAGAAGCTACACTGCAATCCTAAAAACATGCGAGTTTGAACCCACAAGTTGCTCTGTGGGAGGATAGACAGTCTCCTCCTGTGTGATTTGCTGCCTCTGAAAACCTGATAGAGGGTCAGCTGTGAATTGGTTCTGACTCAAAGGTACACAGTGACAGCTCAGTACTTTAAAATCACTTGAAGAGCTTTTTGAAGTTTACAGGTTTCTGGGCCCTGTTCTGAAATCCCATTGCTTTTAGTCAGAAGTAGAATTCAACATTCAGTATTTAAAAAGCATGAAAGCATTGTAGATCATGCTAAGGTGCAGCTGTAGTTTGTGACCACTGATTCTTACTTCCTCACTGCATGTGTGTGTATGAAGCCACTGTATTCAAGGAGGTTTACTACATCTTCAAGGGTACACAGCTGTTCAGTAAGGCAACTGGAACAGAACCCAGTTCTGACTTTTACTTTCCTATATCATGCTGCATTTTCCACCTAATAAACAAGGGCTTGGCCAGCTTTTTCAGTAAAGGACTTGAAAGTAAGGACTTTGTGTGGTACGACTACTTAGCCTAGAGGTGAGAGGACACTGTAACCACATACACATTGCGGTCAGTACTAGTAGTAGTAGCTTGCTAATGAAATGGCAGTTTTGAGATAATTTTATCTCCTAAGCAATAATTAGGGATAGGATTGCTTTCCAACTAGTTTTAAATACCAGTTAACACAATGAAAAGTCAATACTTAAATATTTTACTAAGTTCTGTTTCTCAAGAAATGTGAAAAACTTAAGATGAAGTTACTGTTTTTATAAGGATAGGAAAAAATATGACCTTCAAGATTTTAGCAAATTAATTTTAGTTTATTGAAGTATTATGGGTTAAATGGTTCAGACAATTATTAAAAATAAAACTCTTGATATTATGTGGTCTTCACTTGAGTAAATACTCGTTTTCTCCAAATTTTCTTTGTATTTCTGATCCTCCCTAGTCACTTTAACATGAATTTCATTGAGAGATACGGAGATAGTCTGCTTCTAAACTAGAAGTGGTGATGGGAACATTGAAACATCCTTGACATTATGCCAGTTCCCTCTGTAATCTTTCCTAGTTTTGTTCTTGGACTGTGTTAAAAAGGTTTCTTTCATGAGTAAATTTTGAACCCAGGTTCAAGGTGAGTTCAGAATATACTCAAATTCATTCATTCCTTTTTTTTTTTCTAATACAGGGTTGTACATATTTTAATAATTTTCTTATGTATCTGGTATTTAATGCTGACAGGATTCCAGTCAATGGAGAGGTTTCATTGCAAGTAGCTGCAGGTGTGTTTCATGGTAGAGATTAAAGTTTTCAGTGAAGCTGACTTTCTTTTAGAAAAATTACATCCTAGTAAATTATCAATCTGGATGTTGTTTTGTGAATTTGTTTTTGTTTTTTTTTATATGTTGTTACTGTTAAGCCAGCATTTTGAGTTACTAAATTATCAGGTGTCAAACCCTAAAGAAATAATTTTGAAAATGGGTTCTGAATTTATTTTTAATTGACTTTTACAAAGAGTATGAATAAACTATAAAGTACTTTGTTGGCACAGTAATGTGTATTTGTAGAATCATAACTCCATTTGAAAATTTAAACGTTCATTCTCTGCACTGTGTGTTTATTTGGAACTGGTGTGAGACTTCCTCTCAAAACCAGGTTAAGGACTGCTCTGCTTTTGCCATTTTCCATGAAAGATAAAATATTAGTAATTCACACATTTGTAATTTAATCATCTCTTCTGTGGTAAGAGTTATACTAGGACAGGATGTTTTGTTTTAGGATTATAAGTACAGTGTAAGGAGCGAAGGTGGTGTAGCATGTTGTCCTGCTAACCATAATGGATTGGCAGTGTTAGTCCACCAGCTTCTCCACAGAGGGAAGATAACATGACTCTTCTCATTAAGATTTACAGCCTTGGAAATCCAGGGGAGGGTTGCAGGGAGTCAGACTTGACAGCTCAGCATTTGGAATACAGAAACAGTTGGAGTGGAGAAATATGTATAGCAATTTCAGTTTAAGACTAGTGACTTCAAAAAATGAAACTATTTGGTCTTAAAATTGTATTTATTATGTTCTGAAACTAACCACTCTACTTGTCATGCATACATTTGTGACCAAAGTTTGTTAAACTTACCAATTTTACTTATACTAATTCTCTGGAAAATTTACAGCAAAAGAAATACAAGACATATACTTTCTTTTGCCTTTACAGCTAGCTATAGTCAGCAGACTGGGCCCCAGCAACCTCAGCAGTTCCAGGGATATGGCCAGCAACCAACTTCGCAGGCCCCTGCCTTTTCTGGCCAGCCTCAGCCACTGCCTGCTCAACCTCCACAGCAGTACCAGGCAAGCAATTACCCGCCACAAACTTACGCTACCCAAACTTCTCAGCCTGCTAATTATACTGTGGCCCCTGCCTCACAACCTGGAATGGCTCCAAGCCAACCTGGAGCTTATCAACCAAGACCTGGTTTTACTCCACCTCCTGGAAGTACCATGACCCCTCCTCCAAGTGGGCCTAACCCTTATGCACGTAACCGTCCTCCCTTTGGTCAGGGCTATACCCAACCGGGACCTGGTTATCGATAAGGAAGCTCAGTTACACTGAAGAATGTAGCGATTTGCCTCCTAAAAGACTCCAATACTATTTTAATTTGTATTGATGTTCATTTGAAAAGGCAGAGCATTTTTTTATGATACCATTGTTGCTGTTAATTGAAAGCATAATTTGCTGGAACACAAAACAGACCAAAATGAAATTTGTTTTTCCTCCCCTGCTTTAAAATGTAGCAGCTTCCTAATTACTTTATTTTGGAGCACTACTCAAGTCTGTGTAAAAGTGGTTGACTTCCTAGCTTGCCTTGTCCAGAGGATATTAAAAATGATAGGGGTAGCCATCTGACTTGGCTTTAATTAACATGATGTACTAAAGTAGATTTCTTTGAGAAGACATCTAGCTATTATGTATAAAATTGTAACATTGATAGGCTAATAAAGATGATTGAATCCATCAGTGGTCTTGTCATTTTAATTTAGTCATTAATGTTACAGACATGACAGAAAAGCTATACTTTTTTCAGGTTGGACCTGAAAAGAAATTATAAGAATTTTAACAAAAGGGTTTTTCTGAGAAAAGTGATTTTTTTGTTTGGGTTTTTTTTTCCCCCACCCCTGGCTGAAAGAAACTAATGAATGGTTAGAAAAATAGCAGTCCTAAACTCTGAAGTCAATTTTACAGGAGTAGTCACAGAGGAATTTTGATAGATGTTGAATAGCTTTGATTTTCTTTATAGAGATGCTGATGTCACAAGTATTTAATCTCATTAATAGTTTATGATTATTGTGAAACTAAATAGCATTGATATAAATGAAGTATACTGAAGAACGTTCTATGCAGGAAAGACCCTTTTAAAATGAGGACAGTAAAGTAGCATCCTATCTTCTTCCACAGATGAAGGAAAAAAAACCGTTTTTAACAAAAATGAGATTTTTATTACAGCTTATGTTGAACAGTTACAGAACCATTTTATGCATTCATTCATAGAGGTCATGTATAAATATACTAAATTGTAAAATAGGGAGCTCATAGTTCTTTTTTGCTCAAATATCACATTCAGTCTGCATACAGCTTGAATTAGATTGAAAACATCAGAAAGACAATTGCTTAAAGGTACAGTTCCACAAAAAAATAGACAACATATATCTGGGTAAAGAAAGTATAAAATGTATTTTTTGAAACATCAGATCTCAATTCCACTTTTAACTGAAATGAAACTTACTGGATTCAAACAAAATTAAAAAAAAAATCTTGCAAATATTTAAAGATATGCCTATTAGTATGAATGTTTATTTAAGCTCTTAAAAAAAGCTTTTCAGCTGTTCTAAAAAAATGTTTAAATAAACATGAATATTAGGACTTTCCTCCCCCGTAGACATTTATGCTGATGATATTTTGCTCCAATAAGTTAAATTAAGAGATTTATGGAAAAGTAACTTACTGGTAGATAAGAATATACATTAATAAAAGTAAGTATCTTTCAAAAGTATATTAAAGTTTTTTATGTTAATTTTGTCATAAAAGTATCTCAAAACATCATTACAACAGTGTGATAAATATACAATTGATCTCTTAAAATACCATGAACAGGGAGCCAGCTTCCCCAAAATTGTAATTCTGTTAATATCTTGTTTTCGTAAAATGACTTTGTAAAACTTGATAAATATTCTCAGCAGTCTTTTCTAATAATAAACATCTACTATTGCTGTTAATTAAACTTTTACACATAGTAAACAGAATAGCTTTAGATGGCTGAATTACCATGTAAAGTATTTCATTTTTTCTTCTTTGCCATGATGAATGAAAAGGCAGTTCCGCAAGGTGGCGATATTTACCACTTCCCAGGTATTGTTGTCCCACATTCATACCACTGGACATAATTGATTTGGGTATGACCACCTATTTCTCCAAACTGGACAGGCTCTTGGCGAACTGCTCTGAAATAGCCTAAAAGAGGAAGTGGTTTAATTATTTGCAAAAATTATACTTTGCCCTTATAGTTCAGCCCTTTGTTATTATGGTTAATATTTTAAAATGCAATTGTGTAAAATGTGTTGCTAAAAATGTGTAATCATAACTTATTAAATCATTACAAAGCCTGTTTGGTGATTCCTGAGGAATAGGGATAATTAATACGCCCTTTACTACACATTCTTTTTCTTAAGCAGCTTGGCTGGTTCTGCTGGTCATTAGCAAATTACAAAGGTTATTTCGCACCAGAATTGTTCTATTTTAATTGTATTCATAGAAAGTTATTTATAAGATGCCTCAGTGGTGTAATGTGTAATATAATGAATTAGTTGTTCAGATCCACCAGCTTCTCTTGAGGGAGAAAGATGGGCAGTCTCCTGTAAATATTTTTACAGCCTTGGAAACCTGATAGGGAGGGCCACTGTCTCAGAACTGACACAACAGTGCGTTTGTAAGGCAAAGAATGCTGTTTTCCCATTATGGAGTGGTCATTGTGTGCTGTGGAGTTGGAATCAATTCATAGCTGACCCTCCAGCGGGTTTTCAGAGGCAGTAAACACCTCAGGAGGAGGTTGCCATCCTTGTCTTGTGGAACAGTTGGTGTATTCAAACCATGTTCCTTTGGGATTGCATCACAGCTTCTTACCAGTTTGCCACCTGAGCTTTCTTTAATTTTTTTTTTTCAAGAGAATTTAATGCCCAGAATGACAAACTGTAAAAATAATTAGTACATGAATGATTTAAGTTTGAAAAAATAATGCTCTTTTGTGGCTATTTTCAGGTTTTCTTGACATGTTGTTAAGTGCCGTCCAGTTGGTAGGCAACTCATAGCGACCCTGTGAACGAAAGTCCTCAACACTTGTGTGACTTTTATCCTTTCTCCAGGTTCATAGGGTTTCATAGAAGCAAGCTAATTAAGGAAGTGGATGCCACTCCTGCTTCTTGACAAAGTGTGTGTGTGTGTGTGTGTGTGTATTTATTTCCCTCCCCCCTTGGTTGTAAGGAATGTAGATGTAAGGACTGGGAAAAGGGTTGAGAAACAATTATTTTAGTTGTTAAATAGGATATGTTTTCTCAATTACTTGATATGCTTCAGAGAGTTGGACAGTGACTAAGGATGACAGAAGAATAGATGCCTTCAAGTTGTGCTGGAGAAGAGTCTTGAACATACCATGGATTGCCAAGAAAACAAATAGGTCTGTCTTGGAGAGGGTGAAACCAAGTCTCAACTTGGAGGCTAGGATTTTGAAACTCCCATCTCACATACTTTGAGCACATGGCCAGGAGAGACCAGTCCTTGGAGAAGGACATCATACTTGAAAGATTTAAAGGGACAGCGCAGGAGAGGAAGACCCCCGGATGAGATGGATTGATACAGTAACTGGGGCAATGGGGACTGGTGTGTCGGAGTTAGTGAGACTGGCTTAGGACCCGGAAGGGTTCAGAGCTGCTGTACATAGGGTCGCTTTACATCACAGGCGACTCAACAGCACACAACAAAACAATACACTGTTGTTTTTATAATTGGTTATTTTTTCATTTAAGCTGCTTGTTTAGAGTCAACAAGATGGAGGGCTTTTGTGTTTTTAAGTCAGTTGTTACTATATTTTTTGGGGAACATTCTTCTAAGTTGTACAGTGCTCCTCTGTCTCTCTCAATATTCTGTACTGAGGTAACCTGGAGTTGGGTGTGATGCTGAACCTTTTGTCATTGTGTGTCGAATGCCGTAACAGTTACCCATGGTAGACAGTGGTGAAGCTCTCACTTTAAGACAGGTTTGGAAGCAGGAGTGGCATCCACTTCCTAAACAACATGCCTCTGGAAACTGAACTTTGATAAATGTTGGTAGTTATAGAAAGGCTTCAGGCCTTTTGTTCATAGGATCGCAATGAGTCGTGCTCGACTCAACAGTACAACAACAACAAAATAGGATAGTGGTGCTATAAAATTATTTTTAAGTTTATTATTTTCATTTCTGCATTAATCTCCAAAATCCTTTTAGAGAATCAGACAACATACCTTCTTTGGTGGGTAACTGGTCAGCAGCAAGTTGTTGTCCTGTGCGTCCATCCAAAAATGAATCCACAAACTGGCAGTGGTCTTCTCCATGACCCCGCAGATCACCTATGTTATAAAATTTTCCTGAAGAATTGGAAATTAAAAAGATGAAGTATTACTTCCTTTGATACATGACAATTCTGAAATCTTTTTAGTTCAATAATCAGACTTAAGCATAAATTACATAGCTGAGCCTCTATATCTTGTGGCTCCTAACCTCTACACTATAATAGACAAAGTGCTAGTAGTCTATAGGCCTTTTATTCTAAGAACCACCTTACCTCTGTAACTTAATTTGTGCCACTACTAGAACCTCTACTCGGAATATTATTGCTTGTTAATTTTTGACTCACGTACTTTTAACTTGTTAGTTAAATTTGTGTCTTCTAGGTTGCAACACCTCCATGATACATCTTCAAGGATTTGAACATGTACAGCTAAGCACAATTAATAACAGTGCATCTAAATTCCAAAATCAATCTCCATAATAGTCTATGTGTTTCCTACTGCCAAAGGGGCAGAAGATCTTCACCCTGAAACCCACAACGTCCCTTTTCAGCAGGAGGTAGCTAAAAGAATATGCCATCCCCTTTTCCTTATGAATCAGGGTGAAGTCTCTCTCAGGGAGGAGTGATAGGGAATGGCAAAGGACACACTGACAAAGGAGATTAATCAGAACTGGCTTTGACAAGCACTGTGGCAATTGGACAATTAAAACACATTCGGGGGTGGGAAGACCGAACTGGGGATGAGGGTAGAGAAAACAGTGCAATAATGAATGAGAACCCAAAATCTCTGTAAATGTTCATTAAAACTAATAAAATTTAATAATAATTAAAAAAAAGAATAATCAGTCTTAGCTCTTTACACTTTTCCCTTTCAAGTTCCCAGCGTCCCTTCTCTAAACTGGAATAGTTTCCCAGATGGTCTTTATGGTTTTCATTCTGTTTCCCCATATTCTCTATCTGCTCCCAGCAACACCAGAGCTTAATGATACTTTATACAATGCAAAGCAGATGTCCAGCAGTTTCCCGTTATACTAATTAAAGACCCTTTTGTGACCCCAAATGATTTCACACTTGCCTGCATTTCTGCTCCCATCACTTACCAGGCTGCTCCTACCAGAGGAACAGGTGTTTTTTGCTTCAGACCTTACTTAACCTGCCTCTACTTATACTGCTTTATCCCCTAATCTCTTCAGAAGGTTGGTTCCTTCTAGTATCCTTACTCTATCATTGTGTACCAGCAAATTAGAACTGAACATCAGGTTTTCAGAGGCAGTAAATCACACAGGAGGAGAGTGTCCACGTCTCCTGTGGAGCAGCTGGTGGATTTGAACCACTTGGGGGATTGCAGTGCAGTTCCTTACCACTTGTGGTCCCATTTCAGAAGGATCCCCCCCTAAATGATTCTAAGGAGCTTCCAATCCCTGATCACCCATGCACCCTTTTTAAAAACATTTTCTTCAAAATACCTTTGAGACATTTTTATTGATTTACATGTTTATTTCTGCTCACCAGTTTTTAGCTACATGAAAACAGTAAGGTCTGTCGCTTTGGTTCCGGCATCTATAACTGTCTGATAAAAAGTAGATACTCAAACATTTGTTGATTGAGCAAAGCAAAACAAATTGCTACCTTTGTGTTTTGGCATAGCCTTAACTGTTTTCTTGTTACCACTTTTCACTTAAAAACAATAAAAAATTATCGACGAGATGGGCAAAAGACACATGAAGAAATGCTCAAAATCACTGGCAATAAGAGAGATGCAAATGAAAACTACAATGAGACACATTTTGCTTCAGTAGCCATGGCAAAGTTTAACAGAACAGCATGTAATAAATGTTGGAGAGGATGTGGAAAGGAACTCTTATACATTGTTGTTGGAATTGTAAAATGGTACAACCACTCTGGAAGACAGTTTGGCGGCTTCCTCAGAAAGCTAAACACAGACATTCCTTATGACCCAGCTGTTCCACTGCTTGGAATATACCCCAAGGAAATGAGAACTGAGGCACAGAGACTTGTACACCAATGTTCATAGCGGTTTTATTTCCCATCACAAGGACATGGAAAGACCCCAGATGTCCAACCATAATTGAAGAATGGATTAAGAAATTGTGGTACATTCATATGATGGAATACTGCACAGCACACACACGGAGCAATGGTTTTGTAAAGCATAACTAACTTGGGAAGGAGAGCATTATGCTGAGTGAATAAACTCAGTCCTATAAGGACAAATACTGTATAAGAGGATTATTGTAGAAAGTGTATGAGGATCCTAGGTGGAGAGGGTGGAAGCAGAGGGATGAGGATAGTTGAGGGTGCGATGGTTAATCACAGAGTTACACAATTTGATGGGTAGAGGGAGGAGTGAGTAAAGGAGATGGGAAAGATCTCGTGTGAAAAACAATGTATACAAACTTTGTAAGTAAACCAGTATAAAACAATTTTTTTAAAATTAAAACCAGAAAAAATTATCCTTGAGAGTCTTGAGCAAGGAGTTATAATAACCCTTGGGTCCAGTGCATATGATTATAACCTAGTCTGACATACCTAATATTTTAAGGTTGTCCTATTTTATCCATGAATATTAGAAATACACATAATAGGCCATTCAGTCTTGGATGTTGTAATAAAATTGAAACTTAATGTTAAAATACCTGTTGATTCAAGTTTTCATAGCTTTGTTTCAAGATGCATTTGCCTTATTTACCTAATAGCATGGTCTCTTTTGTAAGTATTCCCAAAGTGTCTTACTTGAAGAAATTACTTGTATTTGGATTACATCTTAATGTCTAGAATTCTCCCTAGGAGAATCCAAGTTCCAGGGTTATGGAAAACATCCCACTTTAGGACCAGAGGTCCACCAGCTGTGCTTACCTGTAAGAGAGTCACTCAGATAAATCTTGTACCTGAGAGAGTTGCATAGCTGCACGCCAACAAACTTCTTGTACCATGTCCTTTTGACGTACTGTTTGCCTTTACATTCTGAATAAGAGTCTGAATTAAAGGGCCTTTCAGTCCAGATGGCATCTCTTCCAGCTGCAAAAGGAAACATAGCTTTTGCTTAGTATCTGACTCGTGGATGCTGAAGAGTTCACCTGAAATTTTTAAAGTAGTTCACAATGTTCATTTTCAACATCTAGCACCTTATTTTCTCTATTGCCCAATACTGGATCTAAAATTGTTATTAAGGTTTTAACAAAAATGTAATTCCTGCCAGCGAGTGGCATTCTCTGAGCAGTATATAGATGGCTTTTAGCCCCTGCAGTATTGCTTATGACAGCATTCGTTGGGTACAATTTTACATTTTCTTAGTCTAAAAGCTAAACCATCACTTTAATGTGACTTGTTATGTCAAGTGGAAATGACTGAGGTTGCCGTAATTATGAGGCAATACTGGAACTGCCCTGGTGTGTGAATGAAGGCAGTTTTCAGAATATCCAGCTTGCTCACAAAATATACTTTAGGTAAATATCCACATCTATGTTGTCTAAGACAAAATGCTAAAGTTCTAAATGCTAATACTAAAGTTCTGCTATGTCTGTTGAATTGGTTTGGAAAACCGTCTAGTTGTGTTTCCGTTTAGACAGGGTACTTACCAGAAATTGGCTCGCTCACTCGAGGGTCCGCTGAGGAGAAATAACAGACAGAATATATGGTTTCAGTAATGCCTAGTGTTCCAGTAGCATGGCATAAAACATGAGTACTTACAGGTGTTAAAAATGCCAATTGCCAAATGATATATTCTTGCAAAAGGCTGAGTGTGAAAGTTTTGTCTGTTTTGTTTTGGAATTCCTTATTAAAAAATATCTCTATCTGGTGCTTGTGATTTGAGTAGTTAGGAGTCAATCACTGTTCTATCCTTCATTTCAACTCTTAGCTCTTTTAGTTTCTTAAAATTATGGGTAAACTCACCAAAATGGTCAGAATTGCAGTTGGGGTGAGAATTTTGCATCAGTTTCTACAGATGAATGCCATTATAAGCATTTAGCACGTGAGAGGTCAATTACAAAATGATCAGTTGCTAGTGTAAAAATTCTCGAATTTCCTTTTTAGATATGCTAGTGGTGCTCTGGTAGCCTAGTGGTAAGAAGCTGCGCTGCAGTCTCAAAGGCACATGGTTTAAATCCACCAGCTGCTTCACAGGAGAAAGATAGGCAATCTCCTACCATGCAATTATTTGACTCTGGAAACCCGCTGGAGGGTTGCCTATTGGGTCAGTTACCACGTGATGGTACACAGCAAAAGTGGTACAACCAATGTTGTATTTTGGCTCTTGGCATACAGGAAAGTACTCATTCTAGAGCACTGTTGTTAAGTGCTGTCCAGTTGCCTGCGACTCACAGTACAACTCTGAACCCTGCTCTATCCTGGGCCAACCTTACTGTCTGGCACACCAGGTTTCTTTGTTTGTTTTTAGTGGGGTTTTTTTTTGTTTGTTTTGTTTTTTTGCTCTTTTTTAAAAACCAGACATTTACTAGGAGTTTTTTAGTTTAGATTATGCTCTCCCTCCTCCCCTACCTTTTAAATTGATACATCTTTTTTTTTCTCCCTGACAACCAGATAAATGAGGAAACACATAAGTGGAATACTCCTTAAGAGTACCTTCAATTTGTTCACCTGGGTCTCACACAAATTCCCTGTGTAAAACATGTCACCCCTGATACACTTTTGGTAGGTAAATGTTGATGTTACTTAGTGTTAACTGTCGATGTGAGTGATTACCTGATTCGGTACTGAATCCCACTGTGTTGCTGACTGGGCCTTCCCCAAGCGGGTTCTTGGGTTTCACCTGAAATTCATAGCTATTTGAGGAATAGGAGAAATAATAATTTTAGCATATTCCTGAGGATTAGAAAACAACATACTGATATTCCACCTGGTCCCATTTTTTAAAAATCATATTGTCAATGATAACATGTTCTAGAATCCATCTGATGAAACATGATAGATTCTAGCATTCTAACAGTAAAACTTTTTGAATGTATATCAAAACCTGACAGGCCAACCTGAATCAGTGGATAGTGCTGAGTCCCTGATCTGGGCAAGACTTTTAGAAGAGAAATAATTCCCATCTTTGGGAAGTTTGCTACTATACAGCCACACTGAATACACATAAGATTGAAGGATAGTTTATGTAAGTGAAGAAAATGAGTTCCAGCTCTCATACTTAGGGTCAGAGGGAAGCAAGTGAACAGTAACCAGTCTTGTTTCTGGGGCTCAAGCTTCAGGAGTCAGTTTTTGATGATCATGAGAACAGCAAGCAACAAATGGTGGTGAGGTTGTGGAGAAACTGGAACCCTTATTCACTGTTGGTGGAAGTGTAAAATGGTGCACCCACTGTGGAAGGCGGTATGGTGCTTTCTCAAAAAGTTGCAAATAGAGATACCATTCGACCCAGCAATTCCACTACTGGGAATATACCCCAAAGAGACCCTAACTGACATCCAAGCAGATATAAGCACACCCATGTTTATCGCAGCTTTGTTCAAAACAGCAAGGAGTTGGAAACAACTTAAGTGCCCATCAACAAATTAATGGATAGAGAAGCTGTGGTATATTCACACAATGAAATGCTATGCTGCATTTAAAAACAAGGAATTCGTGCAATAGTATTCAAAACAGGTGATCCTGGAGGACATTATGCTGAGTGAAGTATCTCAGTCACAAAAGGATAAATACTGCACAGTGCCACTGTTGTAAAGCAGGACTGACCTTAGGGTTGGGAGGAGACTGAGAAGGATGGGTTCAATAATATATACTGCATTGAAACAGATGAGGGAGTAAACTGTTAAAGAGGGAAAATTATTAGGGATTTTTGTCATGACAGGAGTCCAGAGCAGAGGCTGTATAGTGGAGTGGACCTGGGGGGAGGGATTGTAAAACAATGAAAGAATTTTACTTTTCCAAGGGGGTAGTGTACTAGGGGGGAGGGCTGGGAGGGGGAAAAAACTGCAACAGTGATTGAATGGAAATCCAAAGTCTGTAAATTTTCATTGTAATTTCAATAATAAATAATAATAATAAATTTTTTAAAACCCCAACCTGCCACAATTCAGTCCAAGGTGATACTGTAACAAAAATAATGTTTTGAATGTTTATCGATTATCAAACCAAACCCAAATCCACTGTGGTCATGTCTGAAGACTCATGGTGATCCTATATCATGTTCTTGAAGCTGTAAATCTTAATGGAGAAAACTACTATATCGTTCTCCCATGGAGTGGCTGGAGAGTCAAACCATAGACATCTTGGATAGCGTAACACATATCCCACATGCCACCAATTAATGATTCATTGATGCTACATCAATCATTCTATATGTAGAAACTACACACAGACCACATGAGATAGGTATTCCGAGTTGAGAACAATGAAACCTTAATCTTATAAAAGAAGAAAAGCCTTTGCTTTTCCAATTATCAAGTTCTTTTGACATAGGAACTTAAAATTACCTATTCTATCTCAGAGTTTTAATGAGATAATTACAAATTGTTATTTGTAAACAACTGAGATAAGGTGCTATTTATAGTTGTCCCAAATAGAATGTAGGTAAAATATCACCTATGCTGTTGGGGCATTTTGGCATTGAGTATTTTGCAAAGTTTAAGGTTTTTCTGCGAGGCCTGACAGTTATTGGAGAGGGAGGAGTGAGAGGTAATGGGGGGGAAATCACAAACATCTGGACTTTGACTCAGTGGCCCTTGCATTCCACAGTCTAGTGCATTGCCAAAAGCTCTGTGCTTGAGCCAAGTTTGCAGGAATCATCTCCATATCTTTATTTCAAAATCATTTACACTTCTAGCTCCTTCAGTGGCACGGCCACCACAAATACTCATAAGCTAATTTTTTCTCTATTTTCCCCCAACATTTTATGATGGCCAACGCTCAGAATTTCATAAATTTTGAAGAAATTATCTTAGTTCAACTAATATAATTTTTTAAAGGCATATTTTGGGCTAAAGTATAAATAAGCTATTTGTGGTGGCAAAGCTTTTCTCAAAAATTACATTCTGTCATAAGAAGTATAGCACTGTTATAGGCCCGAAATAGGCTTATTCAGAGAAAATAGTGATTGTACCTCTGAGATATGCATAGAAGTGTTGTTAAGTATTTCAGAGAGCAAAAACATTCCTTGAAATAGATGACAGAGCAACACTGGAAAACAATGACAAATTGGTGAAACAAACATGAATGAGTCTCGAGGCCATTATGATGAATGAAATAAGTCACAAAAGTGTAAATAAATATTGCCTAAGCATTGTATTAAAAACTAAAGAAAGGTTTACATATTGAGAGAATCATTCTAGTAAGGTTACTGTAAGGCAGGGAAAGGAGTGAGTAAAAGATGAATAGGTGATAAACATTAATAAGAGTGAAAGGAAAAATAACTTGGAATGAATGGCTGACGAGGCATTGGGTGTACTGTAATGGCTGTTATGAAACAAGATATGCATGACTAATTGAAAAAAGAAATAGAAGGTAGAGCATGGATAAAAATATAAGTACAAAGTTTAGGAGATACTGTTAAAGTATTTTAAATATTAGGTGGAAAAGTGAGAAAATTGGACAGTTATAGGGAATACCATATCCAACTAATAGGAATTGTGGAAGAAATAACAAGGGAAAAGGGAGGATAGAAAATGATCCCAGGAGGTTTTTAAAATTGAAAGGGCCTGCTGTGTGCCCAGTTAAATAGACAAAACAGAATAGAAAGGACTAAAACAAGATTTTACAGTACTGGGAATTTTAAAAGCTCCAGAGAAGAAAACAAGGATCTGTTCAAAGGATCTAGAATCAGAGTGACATTTGACTCCTTCATAATAGTAAAAGTAAGAAAATCATGAAGCAATACTTTCAAAATTCAAATAAATTCTTTTAAACTTAAAAGCTTATATCCAGCTAAACAATCATTTCAGTATCATAGAACAAGAATATTTTTATATAGTTAGATGATCACATTATTTTTAATAACCTATGCTCAAGATGCATGTCTCAGATGCCACAAAATGAGGACGTAAACAAAGGAAGAAATATGGGATGTAAGAATTAAAGACATTTAATACAGGAGAAGGGTGAAAGAGAAATACGGGAGATGTTACCACAAACAAGTATATGGAAAAAGTAAGATAACTTCAGTGTTTGATGTTCTGAACAATTGGCTAGAAATATGGATTCAATTCAGTTCAAATAATAGCTAAAATGATAGAAAATTGTTATCTCAGGAAACAGAACTTAGAAAATTTTGTAGTATTATTTGAAATTTGGAGCTGTAGTGGCTTGTCGTTATGTGCCATTGAGTTGCCGGCAACTCACAGTGACCCTATGTGCAACTGCGCTGAACTCTGCCCTGTCCTGAACCAGTCTCAGTGACTCTTGACACCTAACACTATTGCCGCAGTTACCATGACAATCCATCTCATCTGGGATCTTCCTCTCCAGTGCTGGCCCTCCACCCTTCCTAGCATGATGCCCGTTACCAAGGATTGGTCCCTTATGGCCACATGGCCAAAGTATGTGAATCAGAGCTTCAAAATCCTTGCCTCCAAGGAGAAACTTGGTTACATCCTCTTCAAGACAGATATATTTTCCTAGCAGTCCATGGTATGCTCTATACTGTTTTCCAGCACTCACAACTCAAAGGCATGCTGGAAGGTTAGCTGTGAATTGGATTTGATGGCAAGATCTATAGCAACAACACAGCACCAGATTCAGAATGATGGGCTTTCTGAGGCATAGCCGAAAACATTTTGATTGTCTGGTATTTCAAACCCACCAGGAGCTTAGGAGAGAGAGAGGCAGTCTTCTCCTGTTAAGATTTGCAACCTTGGAAACCAAATGGACGTTTGCTATGAGTTAGAATTAACTCAACGGCAGTGACTTTGAGTTTTGAGACATGCATTTCTGATAAAAATTTAATTTAAAAATTGTTCATAAGACTTTCTACTCAAACAATTGTATCAAGCCTCTGGGCCCATAGAAGACGAGCTAGGTAAGTATACTCTTTGCTGAATGGCATTCCATAATCTTAGGCCATGTGTCCAACAAAAACAGGTATTTCATAACTATTTAATAGTTAATTCCAACATTCATTAAAAATAAAATACTTTCAAACTCTCATGGAAAAACAAAATATAACTTGGGTAGCAGCATTCAGTATTTAAGTGTGAATTTAAAGTAAGTTACTTAGCTATTTGAAGTTTCCTTATAAATGAAATGAGGATAAAAATGGCACTTATGAAGATCATAATAATATATAAAAGTAAGGAGCTTGCACATTATCATTTCAAGTAACAAAAATTATATCTTTTTTTCCTTAAAGGCTCTATTTTATTTGATTGCTTGACAAACATTTCCACAGGACTCCCTACGAAGAGCTCTGGTAATGTTCACAAAACTCACTTTTGTGGTAAGAGTCCTGTAGTGTAGTCCTTTTTGTTGTTGTTATTATTTGCCATCGAGTTTCCTATAACTCACAGCGATAGCCATGTACAATAGCTCTGAACCCTTCTCTATCCTGAGCCAATCTCACAGTCTCTGACACGCCTCCCCACTACTCTAGTCACTGAGTTCAATACCTCTGCTTCAACGTCCCTCCGCCATTCCAAGCATGATGCCCTTCTCCAAGGACTTGTACCTCCTTGCAATCCTAACTATGTGAGACAGAGCTTCAAAATCCTTGCCTCCAAGAAGCAGCCTCATTTCATTCTCGCCAGGACAAGCCCATTTGTTCTCTTAACAGTACATATGTTCAGTACTCTTCTCCAGCACCATAACTCAAAGGCATTGACTCTTCTTCTATCAT